GGAAGAGCACCTCAGGACGACATGCAAAATGCAGTGCGTTATGACAGCAAGAAGCTCCTCAGTGCTCCTTCTTTTTTCTCTGGGATCCCAAAGATCTGCTAGTCTAAGTACCTTGAAAATAAATGTATTGTGGAGATGGCATCCTTCTTGGAAGTAAATTCAAAGACACTGAGCCTGCTTCTGTCTTTCTTTCCCTTTTTCCCTCCCTCCTTCGCAGACTCTTAATATTGTGACACCGCGTGTTCGCCCAGAAGATTGCAGCATCGGTCTTTTGCCAAGGAACCATGACAAGAACCGCTGCATGGATGTGTTGCCCTTGGACCGGAGCCTGCCTTTCCTCATCTCCGTGGATGGTGAATCAAGTAACTACATCAATGCTGCACTCATGGATGTAAGCAGCACTGCACTGTCCTCACCGATCCTCGTCTGCATCAAGTTTATTTGTTCTCGGGATACTTTGCTGGGAGAAGGGGATCCAAAGCAAAAAACTTCTTTACCTGTAGTTTCTGGGTCTGACATCTCCCAGCTGGGCAAAGGCACATGAATTTTCTCTCCTTCACAGAAATGTGTCACCTAGACCATGATTATCACACTGCTGTTGTAGTTCTGCCTCGTGTTGGTGGAAAATCTTTGATGGAGAAGTTCACGGACATGCAGTTTGAGGTTGTATCCTAGAAAGGCAGGTGGACAAAGAAGTGGTGGGACAACTCTTCCCATACATTGGTTGTCATATAAGTTGAAAGAGAAATGTTTGCCAGGTCAGCTCTTTGAAAAGAGTAGTTTGCAGTGTGGAGCGAGTGATTTATTTGAGCTTATGCAGTTAAGAATATGGGAGTACAGGGATCAGATGCGCAAAATACTTTAACGCTGAAGGACATGAGTTAAGCTGATGTGAATCTGTCTGAAAGCATTTTCCCTTGCTTTGTTTATAGGCTAGAATCTCACAGCACAGGTCATTTGTATAGGGTGAATTATGTTGATGGTTTCTTTTTACTATGGTGCCTAACTGCCTTTGGGTAGAGATGCCTTTAAAGCCACTAATTATTGCAGCTGGAGTATAAGTAAATATGATCCAGGGTGAAATGTCATCATTCTTTTCCCCAGCAATGTTGGGGTCGGTCTCTTTAAATTTTGTCTGTTCTTTCAGTCTTTGGGAAACAATGCTACTACTGCATTTAAGAGGTTAAGTCAAATGGTCATAGAATTCATTTTAAATTTTTTCAGAAAGATTGTGATGTTTTCATTGCAAATATGCCTAAGGAAACTTTTTTTTTTTCTTTAAAGTGTATTTTGTGCTTTGGCAAATCTGCAGAAGCACAATCTATTCTTTTCTGGTTTCTTGGGGACTGGGAATGTGCTTGCATATTTGAGCCCTCATTACCTCAAATCTCTTTGCTGATACTTGTGTCCTTCCCCACAAAATTCCTGTGAACTAAAATTTTTTGTACAGAGGAATTTTTCACCCATCATTGAAATTCAGCCATTATGATGTTCTCTGGCTCTCCTTTATACCTCCCATAGAGGAATCACCAGCTTTTGGGAAAAAAAAAAAACAACGGAGGAAAACAGCCAAAATCCCACATTTTCATAGGTGTTCTTGTTGAGGACAGACCTTGCAAATTCTTTTTCTTTTCTGGTAGCTTCATGTCTGCAGTCTCATACCAAGTGAGGACTCGTACAAGAGATCATCATCCCATATTGCCTTGAACTATCGTGAGTTCTTTCATTGTGTGAAGACAGGCACGTGCTGGGGAACACTTAACAACACAGTCCCAGTGCTGATCGTTTTATTTACCTCTACCTTAACAGATTTCTCATGTTGTCTTTTTTTAAAACTTCTCCCCAAGCCTTATTTGACTTGCAGCTTGCTCCGTGTGTTACATGAAAGCTATGATGGAAGCAGCGCTAGAGCAGGAAGGGATGGTGGCACACCGAGAACGGGTTACAGCCTGGGGTTGGAAGCGTGAATGGTCCCAGGAAGGCAGGCTGGCAGGCTGCTCTGGGCTGTGTTCCCTAAAATTAACCTGAGACAAGGAACACCGTGTGAACCCTCCCTCAGGGTGAAGCACTTGGTCTGGGCTCTGTGCTAAATCTGTGCTGGAGACGGTTCCAGTCTGTTGGCTGCAGAGCATTAAAAACTGACCTCTTCTGAGGTTTTGAGTGAGCTTTTGGGAATACAGCCAAAGGGCTGCTGTTGCTCTCAGAGGGGAGGAATTCTCCCCCAGCAGGCTTCGAGACTCCTGGCCTTTTCCTCTTCGTGTCCTCTGTCCCTTTCAAATAAACAGACCTTAGGGTCTTTCCTGTGAGAATCGTTGGAAAGCCACGTTTGCATCTGCAAAATGGTTCTTTAAGAAGAAAGAAGAAATACTGTCCCTCACCTTCCCCTAAAACAACTGAACATAATCCTTAAGCAAAGAGACTTTAGCCACTTCTCTGGGTCAAGCCATACATCAGTGGTGATAGGTTTGTATCTAAGGCATGGGGCTTGGAGAAAGACATGAGTCCCTCTCGTCATCATTCCCCCAGGATCCTGCACATGTTCTCTTACATGAGTAATTAGCATCTCTGTGTCACCTTTAAAATACAAGAGTGAACCTGGTTCCTCACCTGTAGCAAAGAGACCAGGTGGGGCATGTTTCTTTTTTCTCCTAATTGCAAAGCCCACAAATGCATCTTACCTCCAGCCAGCGGTTTGGCCAGTCGTGCAATCTGCTATACTGGTGCACAATGAAAAAACATAGCAGAAACATTATGATGTTCTTAACTCTAATTAAGAGATAAGATTTGCTGATTTATGTACCACTCTGTTGCCACGGTTCATCTGGTATGACATAGCTTTTGACCCATACTGGTGCTCCTAGGTTTGAAATAGAGGCTAGGGAAAAAGAGGGAAATGCATTCCAGACTGGTCATTTCCCATGAATCATTTCCTTTTCCTTCTCTCTGCTGCACGTCCCGTCACCCCCCTCACACGTGCACACTCTGAAGCACGGTGCAGCCTCCCTTCAAGCTGGCGCAGAGCGTGCACAGCACCTTCTCCCCCTCCCAGCATGGTCTGCTCAGCACTTCCATCCGCGTCCAACTCCAGGGGAGGAGAAAAGGCAAGCCCCCACAACAGACGTCTTAATACTTTGGGGGTTTATTTATTTCTTTATTTTAAATCCAAAATCTTAATGTTGGTTGTTTTCTTTTTTTTTTTAAACTCAGAAATATTGTGCCTTTGGATTCAAGTCTGCTTCATAGATGTGTACAGCCCAAAGGACTGTGCAGTTTGTAGGCTCATCTAAGCATTGCCTGCCGTGGTTGGAAAGCGATAAAGTTTTGAGCTTGTACCCTTTCATCTCAAAGTGCCTCGCAAACATTCATTAACGCGGCCCCGCAGAGGTCAGGAGCACAGTTCCTCCCATTCGTGGTTAGGGAGATTGAAGTCAGAGGGCTTTTTTTGAGGTGGAAGAATAGCATCAGAAACTAAATGCCAGTGTCACAGGCTCTGAATATTGCCCCGCAAGCGCTTTGAGGATGGCTGGCATCCAAATGTGCCACCTCTGTAGCACTACATCACCAGGGAGCCACAGCAGACGGGGGGGCTAATCCCTTCTGTAGTTCCTAGAGTCCATTGCAGCAAAACGGATAGCGTTTGCTTCCAGCTGTTTTCTTTCCAATTATTAATATTACTGATAGTAGTAGTAGTAATAGTAGAATTAGTATTATTTGCTGAGTCTCAAAATATAAATAATTGATTTGGGTAATCTCTGCTCTTGTGACACTTCTTTAATGAAATGTCTTCATTGGGAGCAAAAGAATCCCATTATGAGACATTCATTCATTGCAGAGCGATAACAAGGAGAAGGATATGTGATTTGTATAATCTGGTTAAATGGCTCAGATTGCCTAGCCATAGCCTCCCGGGTATAATATTCGTTTGAAGAAAAGTTGATTGAATTTTTTTTTTTTTTTTAACTAATCTTATACTTTTGTTAGAGCCACAAGCAACCTGCTGCCTTTATTGTAACCCAACACCCTTTGCCCAACACCATCGCAGACTTCTGGAGGCTGGTGTTTGATTATAACTGCTCCTCGGTGGTGATGCTGAATGAGATGGATGCAGCACAAGTAAGTGATTTTTCATCAATTCCGTCCTGTAACTTCCTTCTCAAAGCCAGATGGTTTTAAGAGCATTTCTGCTGCCATGTTCTCCCCCACCCCCATAAATAAATGAAGGGGAACTGGAAAATAATAGGTAATGTTTTGGGGTATAATGAAGGATAAGCCTGCATGCTTGGCTCCTTCTAAGGCAGCTAATTCTTCTTGCTGTTATCAGGGATTAGATACCTAAATACGTTGCGTTTGTGAATCTAAAACTTCCTCCCAAACCTGCTTTCTTCGCTTTCTTGTTTTTGTCTTTAGTTCAGTAAAATGTTCCCTACCACAGCCCCAGCGTGCTTCATTTTTGCCTGTTCACGGGGCATTTCCAGAGGAATAAAACAGAGAGAGATGCTGAGATCGTTCAAAGGATCTTTCCCCTGAGATTTCCAGTGCAATTCTGTAATACTGAGAAGTGTGTTTGCACAGTTTCTGGAGAAGCATGTTGTATTCTTTTTTTTTCTTTCTAGTGTCATGTGCAAGTTGGCTTCTTGGCTACTAAACACACCATTATTTTCAGGCATTGAGCTTGCCAGGGAGGAGCCGCTGCAGTTCCTCCCGTACGAGCATTTCCAGCCACCTTGCTGATGAGTGGCAGAAGATAACAGCTTTCAAAAAGGCGTAATCATGCAATTTGTGTGAAGAGTACATTTGGCATGGCTAATTCACCCATTACAGCACTTGTTAAACAAGAGGAGAGGAACCCTCAAGTAGTTGGTACTTCATGGATTAATTTTTCATTTGTCTCTTCTCTGGCTTCAAAATCTTACCGCACTTGAAGGCAGCGAGATATTGGTCTCTCTTTTTGATGGTAATGGAGAAGCTGATCGCCCCGATCATTGAGGGGATCTCCCTCCAGGGCGAGCGCTGTGGGATTTCACGTCCAGCTGCAGGAGGAGCTCTGCTCAGAAGTGGGCTCTCTTGGTGACCCACAGAGTCCCACTGTCTGCGAGGAACTGGAGGTCTTGTGCCTTTGCTGCCTCCCGTCTGGTTCACCCAGCCTGATTCTGTGTCTTGGCATCGAATCCAGAGGAGGATTTTCATCTTTGCCTTTTTTTTTCTGATACTTCAAAGAAAAACACAGCTTTTCCTGGAAATTGCACACTTTCTCATGCTTCGTTCTTGGAAAACACAAACCTATCAGCCTCAGCCAGTGTTACTCTTGCCACTATCTTTCTGCGCAAGACTTCACCTGCTTTGGTTTTTTTCCTAGCAAAGTTCTCGGTTTATGGGGTAGTCTGTAGGCCCAGAAAAGGAGATTTGGCAAGACATGAAGTCGCTTTGTCAGTTATTCTAGTGTGGTGTCACCTAGCCCGAGTCTGCAGCCAATGCCAAAAACATCCATTTAGCACTGGAAGTTAAGGGTGATGTTCAAGCTTGCATCTTGAGAGCGTTCAAGGCAAGGTGCGACAGCTTGATGTCTGTTGTGAAAGTGAAGTTTCTTAAAAGGAAGCCGTTGTGCTTGCACTGTCATTGTACGACAGTGTTGTGGCTATCCAGCTGTTCATCGTTGCCTTGTCCGAGCACTGGGCCCTAAGCACTACACCACCGTCCCTGTAGAGTTGCCTGCGGATGCCGTCTTTGTGTGCGTGAGCACGAGCAGGCTGTGGTACTCATCCCTGTGAGTAGCACACAAATACGAAAACTGCTAATGTAAAAGCTGTGCCTGAACTGTGGAGGGGAAAAAAGTTAAAATAAATAGGTAATTGAACCTTTAATCCACTAGGCAGGAAAAAAAAGTGCAAATAAAAGCATGTGGAGGTCAGAGAACATAACAGAGCATTTTAAGCACCGTATATACATTTGGGTAGATGGGCATTCACAGGCTTGCTTTGTGAAAAGCAGATTTTTAATATTAAGGAAAGGTTTGATCTTTTTCTTCTTTCCAATGCACCTTGAGGTTGCTTTCTAAAGCATCTGCTCAGCTCAAATCTCCTTGCCTATTGGAGAGATGCTTTGAGAAGTGATCTGTAGGCTGCTTGAAAGTCTGAATGAAGAGTAAAGACAACCTTCAAAGGAGGACTCGCTTATGTGGTCTTGGCTGGCTTGCTTAATCTTGGAAAACTAACAAGGGCAAAGATGCATAAGATTGCATGAATATCCCACCCAATTTCAATCCCATATGATCAAAGGAATAACGGGAGTTATTCCCGTTAACAGAATTAATGCGGTAGCATGCACACACTTGACGTTATTACTGGCAATGATTGAACTTGAAAAGCTTGAGATCAAGTTCAAATGAGCATCTGGGGGTTTCAAAACTTCTAAAAAATTACACTTGAAAATAGGAAGAAAAAAACCAGAAAGAAATACAATCTCAGCAGAAACTGCTAATGAGATCTCATGCAAAATATTTTTTCGCCATGATCTATTTTCAGATGGATTTGAAATACTTGCATTGTAATTTGTATGGATAGGACTTTTTTTTTTTGCACTTTCAATTCAGTGATATCAGCATAAGAAAAAAGACTTCCAACCTGCTTCGCAAACTTCAGAGATTCAGTTGTGGTTCACCCTGAAATCGGAGTTGCTCTCGTTGCTGTCAGAGCAAACTCATTCTCCCTCCCTGGCTCACTGGTGGAGTCAGAAAGCTAAAACGTTCATCTTGCAGAAAAAAAGAAGCTCCACTTTGCTTGAGTTAAGATTGATTTTCTTGGTGTGTGTACTGTTCCCTCTTTAACACCAAACCTGTGGGATTCCTATTAAATTTACCTACAGACACTAAACTTTTAATGCTTATTTTAAGTTTGTACCCCTACATTTGTCAGCCACCTTTTTTGCACCTTTAGACACCAGAATTCAAGCAGTTACAAATTATGTTCATACAGAAAAAAAAGGAGGGGGGGCAGAAGTTACACTTCTAAAATACGGATTTATTTTTTTTTCCTCACATTTGTCATATTCATGATATAAGAATCTTTTACTGAGCTAGAAGGAGGTCTTCTCTGAGCGAATACATGTAATACGATATTGGTTATGGATTTTAAGCTGGTTATGAATTTGAAAGGAAAGAAGACTGAATGTGCATTTCCATGCTAATAGTTAAGGTGCTTTCTGTTTCTTTCGCTGTTTTCTCCAGCTCTGCATGCAGTACTGGCCAGAGAAGACATCTTGTTGTTATGGCCCAATTCAAGTAGAGTTTGTTTCAGCAGACATCGATGAAGATATCATCAACCGGATATTCCGGATCTGTAATATGGCCAGGGTAAGGTACCAGATTCCCTGTTTATTCTCAAAAATATATTTTGGCCTGAGGAAGAGACACAACCAAGGCTTGTGATTCAGAGATGCTGAATCTCTCACCTAGGAACAAAATCCACTGCAGAATTTAGTTGCTACTTCCTTTAATTAACATTTAATTGCATCAGTCTGTATTGGTAAAAGACTCTTGGCTGAAATTAGAAAGTGAATGATATGAGCTGAAAATCTGTATTTAAATGGAATGCATTTTTCTATGTATATTTGAGAACAATTAATCACTTAGTAGCCAATATAAACCCATCAGTATCGTAGGAAATAAACTGGGATAGTGTCAGCAGCCCTCCATCTGTCAACTACTGCTCAGTGTCTCTGAAGACAGATGCAGTGTTTACTGGCTAGACTGGGATTCCCAGTTGCCACTGTTTTTCCTATAAATAAGCGACTGCCATTTCTGTAAGCAACTCTTTGTCTGTATCCCTCAGCCCCAGGACAGCTGAAATGAGAGAAACAAAGTTTATCTGCACACTGGACCCTGGCAATGCAACTTCAGGGCTGCAGGGAAGGGTTTCAGTGGATGATTTTTTTCTCATTAGTTGTTTCCCAGATTGATTATGTCTCCTTTTTGGTTCCTTTTTCATTTTTTTTCTAGTCAGAAATGGAAACAGGCACCACAAATTATATTTCCGTGCTGTTTAACACACCAGTCTGATGGTGTGGTCAGAGCCTGTGCAGCAGTTCAGTCGTGACATTGCAGAGTGAACCTTGTGCTCCGCCTACGCAAACTGATATATCAGTTAGATACTCACCTGCCGGTGTCCCAGGCCAACCGCCTTTGAACCAGGGACAGCCTTGAAGTCAAGTAGCTGATAAGACAGAATCTGGGACTGGGGCTGGAGCTGGCTGGTAGATGCGTAGACGTCAGGGTGGGTGCCGGGAACTCGCAGCTCTCTGCACCCATCTGTGTTCAACACCGGTGCTTGCTGCTAAAATCTTGATGAGGATCCGGCCACAGTCCCCAGAGATTTTTTGAGGGCCTTCTTTGCCTTTAGTTCTCATGGCACAACTAACCTCCAGCACAGGCTACTGGGAAAGACGTGTTAGATCTATTCAGACAGTTTGATGAGACTTTATTCTCTACTGAAAACAAAGCAAGGGACCTTAAGCACCTAGTTTCTGCCTGGCTCCGTAATATCTGAGGTCATCATTGTTATCCAGATTGCCAAGAAGTCCTTGTTTCCCCACTGTATCAGTATCCATCAGAGTGGAGGATGTTAACATTGACGGGATGATGCTGTGTAACCAGTGCCTCTGCTTTACCCCATCTCTCTGCTCCCTGCCCCGTTCCATGTAGCATCTTGAAAATGCTCTTTGTTTTAGCCTCAGGACGGGTATCGCATAGTTCAGCACCTGCAGTACATTGGCTGGCCGGCCTACAGGGACACCCCTCCTTCCAAACGCTCCCTCCTGAAGGTGGTCAGAAGGTTGGAGAAGTGGCAGGAGCAGTACGATGGGAGAGACGGACGCACTGTTGTCCACTGCCTGTAAGTAAGACTGGAAAATGTCTGTAACCTCACAAAATGCTGTCTGAAGAGCACCGATTATGGATCTGGAAATTTGGTGGTTTGCCAGGCTTCAGCTGGGGAAAATGAGGTTAAATTACCTTTGTAATACACTTCAAGTTGAATATTGGTGCTACATTATAGCATCCTGGCCCAGAGATTTTACTGGTTGTGGTGAGGAGTAGCTGAAAAAGCTCTGCTGCTTTTTGGTGCGTAGGTAGGTCTCACGACTGGAGCCCAGACACAACCGAAGCAGCGCTGCCCCGTGTCCAGCTCCGACCACGGAGCTGCTGCGAGCCCCCGAGCAGTGAGGAGCAGCGCTGCAGTCCCTGGGGCTTCCCTGTCCACCACTGCCAGGGGCGGCTTAGCCCTTCCGTCCCTGTCTCCTGCCCTGCCGGTCTCCGCTTTTGCAGGCCCGTGACCGTCCTCAACCGGTCCTTACGTTACAGGTCTTTCTTAGCGTATGTGATGCGTGAGCTGCCGTGTAAGCCGTTCTCTCCCCTGTTCCCTCAGCCGTACCCGGCTTCACGTGTTGCCTCTCTTCTTCTGCACCCAGGAACGGCGGGGGACGCAGCGGCACCTTCTGCGCCATCTGCAGCGTGTGTGAAATGATTCAACAGCAAAACATCATTGACGTGTTCCACATAGTGAAAACGTTACGGAATAACAAATCCAACATGGTGGAGTCATTGGTGAGCTTTTTTCCTGTGCCTTACCCCACCCGGGACTTGAGGATAAGTGGGAAAACGCCGTGGCTTAGCCCAGTATGAATCAAAACGAACCATAACGTGAAGCCATCAGAATTAGAATCAGTCCCATTTGTAGCACGTGCAATGAATCCTCCAGTCCCACTGATGCTCTCCTCGAGCAGAGGGGGAGCAGCTGCCCTGGCACTGGGATCAACAGCATCTCTCGCTCCCAGCCGCCTCCGGGAGGTTAAACCCCAAGTCTCTGCCACCGTGGCTGTGGGAAGAAACTGGGGCTTGTCCTCCTGTGCCTGTGTACAGCCTCGTGCGTGGGGCTGTCACGTGCCCTGAAACCAGGAAGGGAGAACAGTCCCAACCCCAGGCCTTGCTCCCCGCAGCCCAAGAGATTAAACTGTCCTGAATTCCATCATCCCAATGGATCACGCTGAATTCTTTCCTCAAAAGCAACGCGTGCAACGAGGGCATGAAGCAAATACCGAATAGTTGATACTGTGGTTGTCTTTTTGGGTGGTTTTCTCTTCCATCGATGATACCACCTCTTGGTAATGCTTGTTCGGGATCATATAGAAATGCAATTAATGTTTGCCTGGTTCTGCCAAACGGTATAGGAAAGAGGGAGGAGGCATTTTTGGCAGCTTGGAGAATGAGGCCCTGAAGAATCTACCTGCATCCTAATGTCACTGATTTCTGTTCTCTCTTTCAGGAACAGTATAAATTTGTATACGAGGTTGCACTGGAATACTTGAGTTCCTTCTAGCCCAGCAGAGGGGAGGGCAGGCTCCGAAATGGCAGACCCCAATCCCTGGCAGACGCTTCTCCCCTCTCCCACACTGGAAGGCAGTGACAAGTGTGGGAAGGAAAACCTCTCCTTCCCGGAGCAAGAGACTGAGATTGCACAGACCTCGCTGGAAGGAGGAGACGATGCCTGTGTTTGCTGCTGCCTGCTTTTTATCGGAACATCTACCGCTTCTTAAATAACCTACTGTAAAAATAAGCAAAATGGGAGGCAGGCTGAAAGACTGGACTTTCTAATTCCCTCTGACTTCTTCTCTCCTCTTTTGGATTGTATTTTTGCTCCCCTTGCTGCAGAGTGGGGAAAGAATGAAACCCTTAGGGAAATTCTCTTTTAAATGTCTCCTTTTTAATTTATAATTTTGTTCTCAAATCTTAGTCTTTAATTTTTGAATTTCATGCAGCAGTCATTTGGGAAAAATGAGATAGCCATAGGGGATATAGGAAATGTTACATTACGATTTGTCTATCCTATCTGTTTCCTTTTATTTTATTTTTTTTTTTCCAAATGAAAAGGCCAACACAAGAAAAAACAACACTGGAATTCTCTTCCTGTACGTAGTCCCTTTTAGCATGAAAATAGATGGTAGAGATGAGCAGCTGTTCATGGATTCACTGCCTCGGCTTCCAACGAATGTTTCCTCCCAGTTTCTGCTAGACTCCCAAGGCTGCGCATGAACCGGTTACATCTCTCTGGTCCATGTTCGGTTCAGCGCTGGCGAAGCAATACCAGTAATGAGTTTCCCAGCCGCTTGAACCTTAAGGTTAAATATTTGCATCAAACAAATTGCATTTGTCTTGCAACTTTTGGTAACTTTGTTACCATATTTTTCAAGTATTTGCTGGGGTGCAGTGTGTCTTTGAAAAACAGGGTATGAAGTAGGTATTATTGATCATATATACTATGTATTATTATTTTTTATTTATTATTTGTATTGCTGTAGAACTTA